GTTACTATAAAATTAGCAAAAAGGGTTAGATATATTTACATATACACATGAATGGAGGCTTGAAGCCTTGACATTTTGTCAGGTGCCTAAACCTGGTTATCTGCATGATTATGTTTCTCTTAGAATAGACATACTCCATGATGGTTTTGATGCCCTGCTGTCCATAGTAATCTGCTATGTGATCCCTGGAGCTGAGGAAGGGAGGCTCTGATGGGAGAAGTGAGTGGACAGTTGTGGATGTAATATGAGATGCCTGCTGAAGAAGCTGAGCGCCGGCACATTTGATGGCAGAATCTGCTGAGGTATGTGGGAAATCATCCGTGATGTGTGAATGCTTGTTGTAGATAGAAGTCTGTTTTGAACCTCTTAGTGGAGACAACGGGAAAGATGGAGTAGGTATGTTGACTGATGTCTGAGTCGTCCCAGGAAGCTTGCCATATGGACGCGAAGGCACAGATCTTGTGTTTGGCAGCGACTATGGAGAATGGGATCTCTCGAGTCGATGGAAGGGTGACTTGTGGCTTCTTTAGCTAAAGAGTCGACCCTTTCGTTACTTTGCATAGAGACACTTGTCTGGAGGAAGAAGGGGTAATAAGGTCTTCTTTTAATGGGGAGACGTGGAAGGCTTGCATGCCATTCTTGTGGGGTAATAAGGTCTTCTTTTAATGGGAAGACGTGGAAAGCTTGCATGCCATTCTTGTTCATTGCTTGTAGGACGCTCATGCTGTCCGTGTAGAAGCTGATGGATAGAAAATTGATGTTGTCTGCAAAGACAGCTGCCTTCTTAAAAGCGAAGGACTCAGCCTGGAAAGCCGAGGTGTGGTCACTAAGTCTGAACTGCGCAGAGTGAACTTCTGTATTGTTGTGGAAAGCGACAAAGCCTGCACCTACTTGCTCTGAAACTTTACAGCCTTAAAAAAACTTCCAAGTCCTGTCCTTTCGGTAGATGTTTAAGACATTTTTTATCTTTCATGGGTGGACAGGAGTATAGTGGCATTGTGGTTCTAAGGAGCGCTTATCTATGAACGAGGAATCATCAAGCTGGAAGGAGTCCTTAAAATTAACTAACCTGCAAGTGCCACATTCAGTTTCTACTTTGAGATCCAAGCGGAGAACTTATGCTAGGATTTGAAGAGCTGTTGTGGATGTGGTAGTGAAACACTTGGTGATCTTGAGAAGGGTGATGTATTGAATTTGGTGTAGCTACTGACAAACCCTTGCCTCAGTTATCCAGATGGGGGAATCGTAAAGAATCATCCTTTCAATGTCCTGCAGATAGAGTTCTTTCAAAAGTTGCCCTTTTAGGTTCCATTTATTTGTGACAATGCGATTTAAGCTATTAACCTGTTCAGGACCAGCGTCACATATACACAACGCAACGATTACACTCCTACCAGCCCAGCGTCACGTATACACGACGCAACGATTTCACTCCTGCCAGCCCAGCGTCACATATACGCAAAGAGCTGCGATCGATCTCTGGAGGCCCAGAGTCGCGTATATGTAACCTGAAAACGAAAAGATTTATTTGCATTTTTAAAAGCCATTGGATGGAGCTAAATGGTAACCATTTTCACATGGGTTGATTCATATGGCATTTGACCTTCATGTACTGGCATTAGTTTGTGTTCTGTGCTTTTGATTTTGATAGATTTAATTGGTATAAACAAACTGAGAATCATGGCTCTTATAAGTGCTAATGTGAATTAAAGGGGCACAGATGTTTTTGTTTATTTCGTTTGAAATTTCTTTTTTTCCGCTTTTGTTCTTTGCTTTTTTTCATTATTAGAATGTGGGTAAGTGCATCCAGCTCATAGTTTTCGTTTATGTTATTTGCTTATTTTGTTAGGAAAGTGCATTCAGCTGACATCGCCAAGGTGCTGACAGCAGCAGGTGTAACATCACCAAACTTCCGTGATGGAGAAACTGAAGACCAGTTGTCCTTCTTTCCATTTATTTTGAAACTTAACATAAGCTTTCTTGGTTAATTAAAAAGTAACATTACAACATTATTACAGAAGGGGAAATACCATCAGCTTTCTCGATGCGCAATGCGTCTTGCTTGCTCGCATTTCTCAGGAAAGAGCCAGCGTTTTTGTTTTTCTTACTCGATTTACTAGGCCAGTATGCCATTATAATTATATATGATGTATATATTGAAGTGATCAGTAACGGATATCCTGCCAAAGGGGATCTTTTCTTGGATAACTTTTCGTTCATCTGGAGGACACTGATTTTCGATCTAGAAAAATAGGCAGTTTTCTAATATAAACCTGATGTCTCACAGGGTTTGAGGATGAAATATTTCTGGGTGTCTTTTGAAGAAGTTTTGGGACATGTGTTGGGGTTATTTCAATTTCATTCCGTTAACCATGAGTAAGAAACCTTACTTAAAAACTGTTTACATTGATGGAAAAGGTAATAAAGGTAGGAAAAAATGCACTATGTGCACTAAAAACGACAAAAAGCGAAAGCAAACAACGTATTTTGAGCACAAAATATGCAATGTAGGACTGTGTGCCGATCCTTGTTTTGAATTATTTCACACACAGAAGAATTTTTAAATTGGAATTTAATTACCTACAGGTACTTCTTGCTTTTTTTCTTAATTTTGTATTTGTAATTTTGTTTTCATGTTTATAGTATTTATTTTTGTGTGTATAGTTATGATTTTAGTATTTTGCCTGTTTAATTTATTTCTATTAATGTGATATTCTTTATATTAATACACATTAAAAACAGGTACATTAAATACAAAACTTCAAAAATTAAAAAAGTCATTATATTAAAATGCTGAATTTATATGATTTTTTTGGTAAAATTAGGCTTAACTGCTGAAAATAAGCGGGCCGGTGGTGACGATCCATTTCAACGGGTCCGGTCCCGTGACTGTGCTTCGTTCCCCACGTGCTGGTCCTTAAGAGGTTAATAAGACTGCAGGTTTTATCTTGTATCATTGTTAAGTGTGATACCCAGGTGAGTTTTCCATCGAGTAAGAATTTTAGGTATTTTAAAGTATCTTCATTTTTAGTGCCCGGTCCTGTCACATTATACGGGGTGGGCTATTTTAAAGTTTACTACCCTTTGGAAAGGTGATCATGTTTGTCTTATGAATGCTGAATTTAAGCCTGAGTTTGAGAGTCCAGTCAGTGATAAGATCTAATGCCTTTTCCGCTTTGTTTTCTATTTCAGTGCAATTACCTCCTTAAATGACTAGGATAAAGTCATCGGCGTAGGCCTGGATTTATGAATTTCCTTCGAAATGTAGAACTAGTGCAGTATTCGCAATGAGATTTCATAATATTGGGCCAATATTAGATGCTTGGGGGGGTCATCTCTGTAGTAGTCGTGGGTGACATTGACCCTATCTCGCTAGTGACTTTACGATTGTGAAGATAACTGCCAAATGATAAAAAAAAAAAAAAGACTCTTAGGACACTGAAGATGTTTGAATTGGTCCTTGAGGGTTGGCCATCAGAATTGGTTGAAGGCCGAAGCCACGTCTAAGAAGATAACACACATGTGGAGACCTCGCTGCTTGTTATGGCGCATTTGCTCTTGTAGATTGTGAAAAGCGTCGATGGTGTACTTTCCCTTCGTGAAGCCATATTGTGCTTTGTTCATGAGGTGGTTTTTCTCCAGGTGGAGAGAGAGACGTCTGGTTATTAGTTTGTCTAGGACTTTTTCCCAGACGGAGAGGAGATAGATGGTCTATATGCATTCGGATGCTTACTGTCTTAGCTCTTTTTCTTTAAAAAGAAAACAAGCTCGGCATTCTTCCAGGCATACATTAAAGGGATATGTTAGGGTATGTTTGTTGCGATTCTCAATTCTTCGGTGAAGTCTATATTGAGTTTTGTCCAAGACTGGGGCTTTGTCCTTTTGTTAGTTTCTATGAATTTCTGCAGTAGTGACGGGGGGATAATTTGCAGTGTTTGTGATGCTTGCTGATCTCCTTATATCCATTAAGAACCACTCTGCTACCTGAGCATGCACATCACATCACCACATTGTTGTCAACATTTGGTGCGGTACTGCATGATGAACAGAATCAACAGTCGCTGTGTCCTGATAAATTATTCGCATGATTTCAGCCATGATGTACAGGAGCATTTAAATGCAACATTAAGTTGATGGAATGTGCATGGTGTGCACATCACCACTATTCATCACTATTCTTTTTGGATACATTTTTTGTGGTGCATGAAAGATCTGGTGTACGATACACCTGTGGTCAATGAAGACGTTGTTGCATGCAGTTGTGCAGCTGCCATGTCTGTTCAAGATGTCCAAAATATTTCAAAGCATCTATGATTCCATGTGATGCGAATAGTAAGCTCGTACTGCAGCTGGTGGTAGGACTCTCCTAATATCACAATTGTTACATTTTGATAAATGAAATAATGTTCTTCACTTACATATTTTATTTATCATGTTTTCTGCACACTTTGACTATACTTTGATGCCTGTTTGTGACTTGTCTTTGAGCGATCTACTTCTCCCAGCAGTTGGTACATATAGTAGCGAATCACCCTATACATGTGTATGTGTGTATATATTATGTATATACAGAGAGATAGATACATGCTCAAATATATGAAAAAAAAAGAATGATTCAATTTAAAAATTACATACTCATGGTGTAAATAATCTATTTCTAAACCATAAAACTGCTGATACACTTTTCATTAAGAAAAATAATTATGTGCATTTAAATGCACCGTTTTATGGTGCTGGAACTTATAAACATTATGAATTATAACTGTATCTACAAGATAGATGAAGTATAAGGTTTGTAATTTTAACTCCATATCCTAATCTTAATATTTGTGGAAGCAAAACCTAATATTACAATAAATACTTCAATATAAAATATCTCACAGGGATAAAGAAGCATCAACATACTCTGCAATATCTGAAACCTATGGAGTATTTCTGGTAATTATGATAAAATTATGAACACTAGAATTTTTTCCGAGGAGTGCAATACACCGACTTACCATGAGGAAGAAAGTCCGATGTTCTAAAGGAATTTTGAGGTAAACCAACATCACCTTCAATGATTCTTAGATCAAGTGCATACTGAATTTTATCAACTTCAAACATATCATCTGTACATTGTGCCTTATAAATAAAAAATAAGGTTAAAATTTTTAGATCGAAATGTAACTTTTATTTTCATACTAAATAATAATTCATTTGGGTAACATTCATATAGTAGAAAGCAAATAGAGCTACTTACCTTAATAACATTAGCAAGCTCATCTGCTAAACCACCAGAGCCTAATAATACAAGATTTAGTTGATTGTTTTCCGTCTCTAAAAGCCAATGACTATTTCTCTGCCATGAGGATGGTCTTAAAGAATAAAGAAACCAGATTTATGCCAATTTACTACAGTAAAATTTTATTAAAAATAAGTAATAACAATAATAAACTCATTTACCTGTGAGCTTTCTGAGCAATAGCCTTTTCAACTAATGTATCCATACATTTTAGAGATGCAGGACAATGTTCTCGAATTGGTCCATGAACAAAACCTAGATGGCGAAGTAACATCAGCATACGATCTTGATCTAATCTGTCTAACGTTTTATACCTGCAAACAGTTTCATTCTTGAATTAATAAATTCTTCTATTATAAAACTAAGCAGGAAAAAAAAAAAAAAAAAAAAAAAAAAAAAAAAAATCAATTAACAAAAATATACGCACTCTTTTAAGAGAAAAATTCATAGCATGCAAACAAATGTATTATAAAGAATGATTAAAAAGTATCTGGCAGAAATGTGTATGCACGCAAAGCAGATGGAAAAACAGATTTTGTAATGGAAATTGTGCATTTAGATGGCAGGTGGTGTTGTCGAGACTGGTAGAAGAAAGCAATACACTGCTGTTAACTGTCATTCTCCGCATAATTTTCAGTGGTTATGTACTGCTACGTTAATGCATAGTTTGCTGACATGCATTTTATCTATAAAGCAGCTAATCAAAAGAAGTATAGTAAACAATTCCTGAGTATCTCCTTCGAGTAGATACTTCATTTCTATCAATAGCCTCACATATAAAATGTGTATCGACAAACCGTGTGCTGTGTAGTGATGCATACACACCCAAAATCCACATGGAAAATAGTGATTTATGCCAGCAGAATGCTTCCGCCTACCAATCAACAGCGTCCGTACCACTTCAATAGCGTCGACAAATTGGCCAGGCAGGTAGCAATCCACCCACATATAACGATTTCAAGGTGCCATTTCCGTGCACAGATGCCATTACAAAATTGGCTTATTTAAGTCTCCCTCAAACCTGCCTTCATATTTTTGCCATATATTTTGAATTACCCTATATATAGAGCTTAATTAGAAATTAAATTATGACTAGCACTCGTACACAGCCAAAAGTACACATATAATGCATATAATACAGCTCCAATAGGTGCACAAAAGCTGAGAGAAAACAGGGCCTTAATCTTTGTATCTCAGAAAATAACAATTTAAAATACAGTCAAAAGTCGTTAATCCGGACTCGTCGGGACTTCGGCAATTCGGGATTATCGATTTTTCCGGATTATAGATCATCAGTTTAAATCTGGTAAGATGGCATGCAGAAATTATAAAATTAAAAATATGAAACCGTAATTTATGAAATAAAGAACAATTATGATCTAAAGGGTATCAAAATTTACAAAAAAAAAATAAAAAAATAAAAAAAAAAAAAAAAAAAAAAAAAAAAAAAAAAAAAAAAAGCAGCTTAATATTTATTTGTTTACTTTATTAAACATTTCTTTCAATGTAAGTTGTTTAAGTTGCTTCGTTTTTTATGTGATAATACATTCTCTTTAATTCTATAAACAGACATAATTTCTTGTTCAGTTACAAAGTTTCGCTGTTCAAGTCTTATAATTGCTGTGTCGAGAATACCGACTAATTTGTCAATTGAAATTTTTTCGTTTTCAATAACCTCTGTTACTTTCTTAGCTATCGGAAGCGAATTATAATGACGAGGAATTTGATTTAAATAATATCAAAGATGGAGTACATCGAGATGAAATACTACATTTAATAAGGAATTATAAGCCAAATAAAATAAAAACCATCTGCCCTGAAGATAAGGATAGTGCTGACAGATCAACTTCCAACTCATTGCGTGGCTGCGTTAAAGATAAAAAAAGTTTAGATAAATAAAAGGATATGCCTTTTTATCCATTTTTTGCAGCAATTCCACTTTTTGTTTAATGAACTTCGAAACCTACTTTCGCTTTGTAGATCCTTTACATATTAATAAATATATATCAGAAATTCTATTTGACATAATCGAAAGTTCAAGCTTACTTTTATAAAATTGCTCTAACAGTCTGCAAAAAAAATAATAGCTGGATCCAATTTTGAAGATTAAGGAACAACGCAATCTGCAACATTAACTGAAATAGATAATTAAATAATTTTAGCTTAGCTTACACCGTCCGTTATACATTAAACGCGCACTCGTAAACGCGATGCACGCGCAGAAAGTTTGAAGCCTTGAGGTCCGGATTGTAGATCATTCAGTATTATGGGTGTCCGAATTAACGACTTTTGACTGTATAAACATTAGAGACAGAAATATGGACTAAGTTGTCATTATTGGTTATAAAATTTTGTTCCACTTGGGAAGTTCTCGGAAATTTTTGAAAATTTGTTTATTTTTAATTCATGTTAAAAGTAAATTACTTAGCGGTTAATTCAACACATTAGAAATTATTTGAAATAAATGGCATATGGAAAATTTAATACTTAGCTGATAGTATGCTTGAGTTTCAAAGTATAACCAATGAAAATTTCTTAGATATGCCTTGAAAAATAAATAATTTAAATTTGAATTTTTCCTTTTGCATTATTACTATTGTTATTTATGCATCTTTTGATAAACATTTAGTAAGCAGAACTGAAATCAAGTCAAAATTTAATTATTTGAAATCAGGGTTCGTACACATTTCAGCACATAGAAATTAAGGACTTTTAAGGACCATTAATGGGGGAAAAAATTAAGGACCTATCGGTAAATGGGATCTGAATAAATTCAATTAAAGATATCTACGACGGAACTTCATTTTTGTAATACCATACTAAGAGTAAAACAGATCCATATGTAAGATGCATTATTAAAACATAATTTAATTAACATAATTACAAAACAAATTTAAGAACAAAATCAACATTAAATATTTTGCACTTGTAATAACTTGGAAGAAGATTGAAAAAAGATTAGTGAGATTTTATTTAAGTCTTACTAACAGTTAGCATTATGTTGATTTTTGTCTTTTGTATCTCATTTTGTCACGTACTTGTTCAATCTAGAGGTTTAGAAAATAGCAGGTAGATTTTATGTCAAAGGGCATAGGCTAAAATGAGAAGCAAAATCATAATCAGCATGATTCATAATAGAGGACTGGCTGTTTTCACCACTGCTACTTGAATCCCAATCACATTATGTTTCCTCTATGTGGAACTGGACATCGAAAGGGACAATTCTCAAACCCCTGCCTTTCCAGGAAACCCACTAGGTTACCATTTTCACTACAAAGACTTAAACGCCAAACGGTAATCGATTATCACTCAGACTGGGATCACATGATCCTTCAGAAGCAGAACTTTCATCTGATTGGTTGGTCTCTAAGCAGGACAGAACTCCAGCCGAAAAATTTTCAACGAGGGGTCAGGAAATCCTGTGTAGCCAGTATATCATTTCTGTAGCCAGGTGTTGCTTCCCTTCCAGCAGTGCTCTTTTTTATAGGAATCCTTCTGTTTAAACCAGTTCTACCAGAATCGCATTTCTCGGAAACGTCTTGCCTAGCAGCGACCGTCACTAAATGTGATAACCTCTTTACAGGCTTGTCTAGAGAGAGACCTGCTGATCAGAACAAACCTGAAAGCCTGATGTAGGCACAGTTGGCAGATTTTGAAAATTAGTTGTGCTCTAGCTGATGCAGTTAGCGTTGTTGCTTTGCGCAGAGTTCCTGGGGTTGTAACCCAGTTAATATAGTTTAAGGTTCTAGTAATCCACTATAGCACCAGAGTTGGTAAGTTTTGTATGATTTTAAGTCTCACTAGATGAAAAAAAAAAAACTTTTACATTAATTTTACATTTTTGTGCTATACCTTACGACCACAGTAAGAATTAATGAAAGGCAATAACTTACTTTAATTTGCAAAGACAACTTTTAAGGGTGAGGAGTTAGATACAAATAATTAAATTAGGTAGTTCGATACCTATTTGTCATTATAGATTTACATGGCCACTATTAAATTATACTTGTTTTTAAAAAATATTTGTTGAGAAAGCACTATTAAAATAAGAATTTAATAACATCTCACTGTTCAGAATACATGTAATTCATGACATTGATTCTTAAACAATACTAGAAATGTTAAATAGCAACAACATATAACAAAATATTTATGCATCTCTTTAATTTGAAGCCTTCCCAGCCATTTTGGCTAATTTATACCAATCTCCTCCTCTTTAAGCATCTTTTCTAATTAGAGATTTGTTTCAATACACAAACCAACGTTCGTCTCCTAACTTGTCAATCTGCCGACAATGTACCAATGTGGTTTTACTTGATCTGGTAAAAGGTAAATAGGCCAAAACCCCTTACAGACATGAAACAAATTATTGCTGTGTCTGAAAGTAACTACAAGGTTAGATAAAGGTTCGGTTTTGTGTTTGGCTTATGTGATTACGGCAAAGCCTCGAGGGCTATCTGCCTAAGGGAAGGCATGCTTCATGATGGACATTCTAAGGGAAACTGGTTCGTATAAACGTTACACATTAGATTTAAATAAATCTCTTATTAAAAAGAACATAGAACAAAAGGCATGCTCTTATAGTAACAAAATTAAATCGACTCTTCTGTGAATCAGAAGTAAAACATTCAAATATAGTACAAAGTCCGAGATCTGGACGCCCCTCGGACTTTGTATTGTATTATGCTTTCATTGTTCTTACAAAAATTCTCCTAAAAGTAAGATATTCACCACAAACATTCTTTAAAATACATTAACTACCTGTTAATATCATGAAGATATTCTTCATTTTGTTACACTTTTCTAGAATCTTTTAGAATCATGGATCTAAAAGGGTATCTTACCCTCAAATTTTTGTAACTTTCCGACTTTGCAAATTTAAAATCCTAAAGAAAAATTACCTCTACCAATTCTTTAACAGCAAAAAGCCAAAAATATTTTGAAAAAAAAAAAAAAAATCAAAGGAAAAAAGGGTAAAATTAATTTCATAGAGAAAACTGATGCATATTCTGAGAATTTCAAATATTCGTGGGAAAAACTCTTACCATGAGAAAATTAAAAAGTAGACATATTTAATTAACTACATAGCTATTTTGCTTTTTCTAAGAAATGCATCGTAAATTGTGCTTTATGGTATTTATTATCTAGTTTATTTTTCAAATTCAAAATATTGTATAATAAGTCGGCAAAAATGGAAAGTAATGTCACTTAATATGACAGCAAAAAATGAGTATTTTTTTTTCAATGTTATTTCTTATTTATAATTTTAATAAAATACCATTATTTTAGTGAAATTTATTAATGTTATAATGTT